GTCAGAAAAAAGAGATGAAGTTTTATAAACTACAAATATTATAAAGAAAAGGGAGGCCACTTTTCCCTTTCAGAATGAATGGGACATGCATGGCTTTATATTTTGCTCAGTCCATAAAAACACAGTTTAAGAAACTTTTTTTATATTGAGCTCCTTATTCAACAAAATTTAAAACGTCTTTTATTTTGCATATATCTCTCATACAGCCCATGGATAAGTAAGGCCCCACATTCCATGAATGAAATCCCCTAATGCCTTTACAAAAAAACACTCTGATAAAAAGGGAGGACAGTTTTGATTTTCCAAAAAAACCGAGTCCTTCATAACCTTGAAACAGTTTGATAGATCAAGATGATACTGACTTTTTACTTAGGTCCTGCTTTTGCAAAAGGAGCTGTATGAATAAGTGTTTATACCTGGGTAGGTTCTTTTTCAGGATTGCGGATGGATGAATCACTTTGAAAATGGCTCCATAATTCAGTGTAACAACCTCTCAGAAGCAGGACCGGCTCTAGGTTTTTTTGCCGCCCCAAGCAAAAAAATTGCTGCCCCGAGCTCAGGTGGGGCTGGGGCTCGCAGGCGGCGCTGGAAGCGGAGGGAGTGATGTCACCTTCTCCCAGCGCCTGCAGGGGCTTTACCCTCTCCCGCGCCCGGCCGCACAGAGAATCCCCGATATACGGGATGGCACAAGGCAGTGCAGCAGCCAGTGCGCAGATGAGGCTCCCTGACAGGACTCGCCGTCTCCTCCCCAGGTAGCGGCTGGGGCTTCCCCTTCCGCTGTGGCCGGGGGCGCGGCGCCTTCACCCCATCTAAGTGGTGCAGCTCTGAGAGCGCAACTGCCCCCCCCAAAAAGGATGGCTGGAACGCCGCCCCTGGAAATGTGCCTCCCCAAGCACGTGCTTGCTTTGCTGGTGCCTAGAGCCGGTCCTGCTCAGAAGTAGTCACGTAGGAATTCAAGAGGGTTCCAGAGAAAATACTCTTAAAAACTATCCATTGTAGTAGAGAGGGACGTTCTTTTGCCTGAATTTTTAAACCAGCTTATAGAACAGAATAAAAAGAACCTCTATCTCAGGGAGTTTAAAGTTCTGCAAAAAGTTGCATTCCCTATCGAAATCCACAGGACTTTTTCCATAAAGGAAAAAAAATTGTTTGAATTTGAAAATGTTAAGAGAATGAGGTTTTTATTCTTGTCAGTAGAATTGTTACAGTGCAATGCAGCAGAACGATAATAATTACCGTAAACTGTTACCATTGTTCATTTATAATTTATATGTTTAAACTTTCATAAATCATATTACCTATGCTGGAAGGATATAACTCAAGTTAATTAACTGACAAACTCACATTACTATATTTAACATCTCACCCTTTCTCCAAGATTATAATGACACATTTCCCAAAAATAAATACATGAATAAAATAAATAAAAGGTTTCCTGACACAGATAAAATCACCTTCTATATTTATTATCACTGTTAACATTAGCAAATCTCCCACATAGCATGTTAACTTTTTTGTATATTTGAATCAACAGTAGTTTCACCTTTAATTAAGGTAGGTTTTGCAAAAGATCTGACCCCTTTCCCATTGATCCTTTTAATCTTATCTTATTCCATGTCTTTTCTACTGACACCTGGTGATTAATACTGCTACAGAAGTTTTACCAGCATGATTTCTTACATCTTCTAATAACCCTCTGAGCCTGAATATGCTTCCTTTTATAATCTATAAAATCCTGAAATTTTAATGAAAGTCTCATCTTACTCAATGCCTTTCTTCTTAATTTGACCACTATATAATAATCTTCATCCTGCCAGGGCACTGGAGGGTTGCTCTTTCTTCCCAGATGACACAGGAATAGCCATAGTAGTTGACTGATATATCAACAAAGGCTCCCGCACCATCAGTGGTAGTTTCCACAAAACCCCCCAAAGAGAGAGGGCAAAATGTAACCAGCTTGATTTCTTTTTTAAATTCTATGTTTCCCTAAAGTTTCTTTATCAGATGATAATATCAAAGAAGAAATATATATATGCACTCCCCATGATAATCATGCCCCTCTTTTCATAGAATCATAGAATCATAGAATATCAGGGTTGGAAGGGACCCCAGAAGGTCATCTAGTCCAACCCCCTGCTCGAAGCAGGACCAATTCCCAGTTAAATCATTCCAGCCAGGGCTTTGTCAAGCCTGACCTTAAAAACCTCTAAGGAAGGAGATTCTACCACCTCCCTAGGTAACGCATTCCAGTGTTTCACCACCCTCATAGTGAAAAAGTTTTTCCTAATATCCAATCTAAACTTCCCCCACTGCAACTTGAGACCATTACTCCTCGTTCTGTCATCTGCTACCATTGAGAACAGTCTGGAGCCATCCTCTTTGGAACCCCCTTTCAGGTAGTTGAAAGCAGCTATCAAATTCCCCCTCATTCTTCTCTTCTGCAGACTAAACAATCCCAGCTCCCTCAGCCTCTCCTCATAAGTCATGTGTTCCAGACCCCTAATCATTTTTGTTGCCCTTCGCTGGACTCTCTCCAATTTATCCACATCCTTCTTGTAGTGTGGGGCCCAAAACTGGACACAGTACTCCAGATGAGGCCTCACCAATGTCGAATAGAGGGGAACGATCACGTCCCTCGATCTGCTCGCTATGCCCCTACTTATACATCCCAAAATGACATTGGCCTTCTTGGCAACAAGGGCACACTGCTGACTCATATCCAGCTTCTCGTCCACTGTCACCCCTAGGTCCTTTTCCCCAGAACTGCTGCCTAGCCATTCGGCCCCTAGTCTGTAGCGGTGCATTGGATTCTTCCGTCCTAAGTGCAGGACCCTGCACTTATCCTTACTGAACCTCATCAGATTTCTTTTGGCCCAATCCTCCAATTTGTCTAGGTCCTTCTGTATCCTATCCCTCCCCTCCAGCGTATCTACCACTCCTCCCAGTTTAGTATCATCCGCAAATTTGCTGAGAGTGCAATCCACACCATCCTCCAGATCATTTATGAAGATATTGAACAAAACCGGCCCCAGGACCGACCCCTGGGGCACTCCACTTGACACCGGCTGCCAACTAGACATGGAGCCATTGATCACTACCCGTTGAGCCCGACAATCTAGCCAGCTTTCTACCCACCTTATAGTGCATTCATCCAGCCCATACTTCCTTAACTTGCTGACAAGAATACTGTGGGAGACCGTGTCAAAAGCTTTGCTAAAGTCAAGAAACAATACATCCACTGCTTTCCCTTCATCCACAGAACCAGTAATCTCATCATAAAAGGCGATTAGATTAGCCAGGCATGACCTTCCCTTGGTGAATCCATGCTGGCTGTTCCTGATCACTTTCCTCTCATGCAAGTGCTTCAGGATTGATTCTTTGAGGACCTGCTCCATGATTTTTCCAGGGACTGAGGTGAGGCTGACCGGCCTGTAGTTCCCAGGATCCTCCTTCTTCCCTTTTTTAAAGATTGGCACTACATTAGCCTTTTTCCAGTCATCCGGGACTTCCCCCGTTCGCCATGAGTTTTCAAAGATAATGGCCAATGGCTCTGCAATCACAGCCGCCAATTCCTTCAGCACTCTCGGATGCAACTCGTCCGGCCCCATGGACTTGTGCACGTCCAGCTTTTCTAAATAGTCCCTGACCACCTCTATCTCCACAGAGGGCTGGCCATCTCTTCCCCATTTTGTGATGCCCAGCGCAGCAGTCTGGGAGCTGACCTTGTTAGTGAAGACAGAGGCAAAAAAAGCATTGAGTACATTAGCTTTTTCCACATCCTCTGTCACTAGGTTGCCTCCCTCATTCAGTAAGGGGCCCACACTTTCCTTGGCTTTCTTCTTGTTGCCAACATACCTGAAGAAACCCTTCTTGTTACTCTTGACATCTCTTGCTAGCTGCAGCTCCAGGTGCGATTTGGCCCTCCTGATATCATTCCTACATGCCCGAGCAATATTTTTATACTCTTCCCTGGTCATATGTCCAACCTTCCATTTCTTGTAAGCTTCTTTTTTATGTTTAAGATCCGCTAGAATTTCACCATTAAGCCAAGCTGGTCGCCTGCCATATTTACTATTCTTTCGACTCATTGGGATGGTTTGTCCCTGTAACCTCAACAGGGATTCCTTGAAATACAGCCAGCTCTCCTGGACTCCTTTCCCCTTCATGTTAGTCCCCCAGGGGATCCTGGCCATCCGTTCCCTGAGGGAGTCAAAGTCTGCTTTCCTGAAGTCCAGGGTCCGTATCCTGCTGCTTACCTTTCTTCCCTGCGTCAGGATCCTGAACTCAACCGACTCGTGGTCACTGCCTCCCAGATTCCCATCCACTTTTGCTTCCCCCACTAATTCTACCTGGTTTGTGAGCAGCAGGTCAAGAAAAGCGCCCCCCGAGTTGGCTCCTCTAGCACTTGCGCCAGGAAATTGTCCCCTACGCTTTCCAAAAACTTCCTGGATTGTCTATGCACTGCTGTATTGCTCTCCCAGCAGATATCAGGAAAATTAAAGTCACCCATGAGAATCAGGGCATGCAATCTAGTAGCTTCCGTGAGCTGCCGGAAGAAAGCCTCATCTACCTCATCCCCCTGGTCTGGTGGTCTATAGCAGACTCCCACCACTACATCACTCTTGTTGCACACACTTCTAAACTTAATCCAGAGACACTCAGGTTTTTCTACAGTTTTGTACCGGAGCTCTGAGCAGTCATACTGCTCCCTTACATACAGTGCTACTCCCCCACCTTTTCTGCCCTGCCTGTGCTTCCTGAACAGATTATAACCATCCATGACAGTACTCCAGTCATGTGAGTTATCCCACCAAGTCTCTGTTATTCCAATCACGTCATAGTTCCTTGACATCACCAGGACCTCCAGTTCTCCCTGCTTGTTTCCAAGGCTTTGTGCATTCGTATATAAGCACTTGAGATAACCTGTTGATCGCCCCTCATTCCCAGTATGAGGCAGGAGCCCTCCCCTCACAGACATTCCTGCCTGTGCTTCCTCCCGGTATCCCGCTTTCCCACTTACCTCAGGGCTTTGGTCTCCTTCCCCCGGTGAACCTAGTTTAAAGCCCTCCTCACTAGGTTAGCCAGCCTGCTGGCAAAGATGCTCTTCCCTCTCTTCGTAAGATGGAGCCCGTCTCTGCCCAGCACTCCTCCTTCATGGAACACCATCCCATGGTCAAAGAATCCAAAGCCTTCTCTCCGACACCACCTGCGTAGCCATTCGTTGACTTCGACGATTCGACGGTCCCTACCCAGGCCTTTTCCTTCCACGGGAAGGATGGACGAGAACACCACTTGCGCCTCCAACTCCTTTATCCTTCTTCCCAGAGCCACGTAGTCCGCAGTGATCCGCTCAAGGTCATTCTTGGCAGTATCATTGGTGCCCACGTGGAGAAGCAGGAAGGGGTAGCGATCCGAGGGCTTGATGAGTCTCGGCAGTCTCTCCATCACATCGCGAATCTTAGCCCCTGGCAAGCAGCAGACTTCTCGGTTTTCCCGGTCAGGGTGGCAGATAGATGACTCAGTCCCCCGGAGGAGAGAGTCCCCGACCACCACCACCCGCCTTCTCCTCTTGGGAGTGGTGGTCGTGGAACCCCCAACCTCAGGACATCGCATCTCATGCCTTCCAACCAGCGGAGTCTCCTTCTGCTTTCTCGCCCCAGACATATCATCTGGTCTACTCTCCGCAACGGTACCTGTGGAGAGAACATGAAAGCGGTTAGTTACCTGTGTCTGTGTTACTGGAACCCGGACATTCCTCTTACCTCTTCTGGAGGTCACATGTTGCCAAGCTTCTTCACTGGCCTCTTGGCTCCTCTGTGCAACCTGCTCTATATCTTTAGAGCCTTGTGCCCCTAGAAGCATATCCTGAGTTTTGTCCAGAAAATCCTCAGTTTCTCGTATGCAACGCAGGGTTGTTATTTGTTGCTCCAGACCTTCAATCTTCTCTTCCAATATGGAGACCAGCTTGCACTTTGTACAGACAAAGTCGCTTCTGTCCTGTGGAAGAAAGACAAACATGGCACATCCAGTGCAGGTCACAACAGCTGAACCCCCCCCTTCCATATCACCTTCCTACTATGAGTTTCCTCAGAGCAGTTTGCAAGACGTAAGCCTCACTGGGCTCACTCCAGGCGAACTCCCAGGCAAACTCCTGCTGTGAGCTGCTCTGCTGTCCCCCGCTGCTCAGCTGGTTCGCAAAGCTCTGGCTATTTTTAAACAGCCAGGCTTCCCTGACACAAACAAACGGACACCCTAATGCCCGCCCCCTGCAGGCTAGCAGCCAATCAGACACTCACTCAGGCTCTCACACTGCCCTCCCAGCAAACACACGCTCGGATACTTCCTCAGCAAGCAAACACACAATGTGCATGTACATTTACCTAGGACCTGTTCTGCCACAATTACACAGGGGAGTACCTTCCTGTGTGTGTAGTCCCATTGAACGGAGGATGAAAACAGTCTGCTCTGGAAGAGATTGTTTTGCTCCCTTCCCCTCTCCTAGCCCCTTTTCTCTCTCATTTCTATGATTCTTTCCATCTCCTTCCCCATTACTGATAGAGGAGAGCATTTGTGAAACTTCTGTAACTCCTTCACCTGACCCAGTGATCTCTTCCTATCCCGTCTTCTGAATTCCCTTACCACACTCTTATCCCTCCCTTCTATTCCACCTCTCCTCAGGCTTCTCACACTACAAACATGCATCACTCTCCCCGCAACTTAAACAACAAAAAAGAACCAAAAACACTCTCGACCCCACTGGCCTCTTCCACTACTACTCCATCTCCTTTCTTCCTTTCTTCTCCAAGCTCATTGAACATGGTGACTGCACTGCTGTCTGGAGTTCCTCTCCTCCAATCCATCTTCTGCCCCTGGCATGCCACTGCAGTGCTTCTCATCAAAACCTCCCTAGCCAAAGACAGCTGAAACCAGTACTCCACCATCAACGTATTGTCTGCCTTTGAGATTGTCAAAAATGATCCTTCTTGATATCTTATCCTTCCTCAGGTTTTGTGACTGGCCACTCCTGGTTTTTCTCCTACATCTCTAATTACTCTTTCACTTGGAGGATCTTCCTCATCAGAACTCTGGGGGTCCTGACTGGTTCCCTGCTTTTTTTAAACCAAGCAAGGGAACAGGAAGTTGTCCATGCAATGGGCTTTCCCCAGCTTAGAACTGCCTCTCCTGCTGTACTTGCTACTAGTGCCTGACTCTGATCTCCTGGTAACCTGACCCTGCCATCTCCTGCACCTGACTGTTTGCTCTCTGGTCTGTCTCAGACTCTGGCTTCCTGGTAAACCAATCCTGCCTGGCTCTTGATTCCTGCTCTGACCACTAGGTCAGACCACCCATATCCCGGTTGTGACATCTGTATCAACTACTGCGACCTCCTCATGTCTGTCCCTGACAAATACAATCTTGCTCCACTTATATCCATTCAAAATGCTGCTGCAAAGATCATGCTTCTGGATTGTTGCTTCAAACAGTTCAGCCATTGCTCTGTGTCTCACCCCTGGTTCCCCTTTTCCACTACATCAAGCACAGGCTACTCATTCACTTTAAAGGCCTTTAATGCCACCTATCATCTCCTATAGAGACATCAACTCCCCCATCTTCTCTGCCAATTATGTTGGCTTTTGTGAAGAAGGAATTATGTTGATCTGGAAATTGTTTGATAAGAGATGCAGTCATAGGAGAAGTGTTAAGAAAAATTATGTGATCAGATATGTTATAGGATGAAGACCAAAAAGAACACACACTTCTGGGTGCATAGACACAGAGGTTTGGACTCCTGGACATAACCCACTCCCCCCAAATTTTGGGGTTTGAATTTGAAGAATTGGCTCCTGTGAGGAGAGGAAGCACTGCTGGGCTCTTATACGCTTAGGCTGTCCCTATTAGAGTAAGAAGCAGCAAGGTCACTGGATACTCTTGTTATGTATTACACTGATCAATAAAAGTTTAGTATTTTGGCCATGCCTCCAAGTCCTAGGTTTGACAAATCAGTGGGTTTTGAACATAACCTTTTTTCAAGGGCCTTGCACATAAGAATGACAAGAAAATCTCCTCAGAAGATTAGAGGGATACAAAGGCTGATTTGGTGAACTAGTGACTGAGCTGTTGAAGGACATGTCCAGAAAGGGGCAGGTTATGACAGCCTCAATCACTCTTCTGTTAAATTTTCAAACATGCACCTTCTTGCTTTCTCCCGTGCTGCCACTCAAACATGGGAGTAGCAGCAAAGCTAACTGTGTCTTCCTTTAAATAATGAGGAGTCCAGTGGCACCTTAAAGACTAACAGATTTATTTGGGCATAAGCTTTCATGGTTAAAAAAAACCCACTTCTTCAGATGCATGGAGTGAAGGTAACTCCCTTCTTGTCATGTGTCAATATATTTAGGCCTGCATCAGTATCTTTCACTCCATGCATCTGAAGGAGTGGGGTGTTTTACCACAAAAGCTTATGCCCAAATAAATCTGTTTGTCTTTAAGGTGCCACTGGACTCCTCATTGTTTTTGTGGATACAGACTAACACTGCTACCCCTCTGTTCCTTTAAATACCTTCTCTGCTATAGGGTTGCCAGACATCCGGTTTTTGACTGGAACGCCCGGTGGAAAAGGGACCCTGGTGGCTTTGGTTTAACAGCGCTGACCGGCCTGTTAAAAGTCCAGTTGGTATGGGGCTGGCAGGCTCCCTACCTGGCTCCGAGCGGCTCCTGGAAGCTGATAGCATGTCCCTCCAGCTCCTAGGTACAGGGGCGTCCAGGGAGGCTCCTCATGCTGGCCTGCCCCAAGCACTGGCTCCACAGCTCCCATTGGCTGGGAACTGCAGCCAATGGGAGCTGTGGGGGCAGCGCCTACAGATGGGAGCTGGAGGAACATGTTGCCACTTCTGGAACTGCCTGAGGTAAGCGCCACCCGGAGCCTGCACCCCGAACCTCTTCCCACAACCCAACCCCCTACCCCAGCCCTGAGCTTCCTCCCACAGTCCAAACCCCTAGGCCCCAGCCCAGAGCCCTCTTCTGCACCTCTGCCCCAGTCTGGAACCCCCTCCCACACCCTGAACCCCTCATTTCTGGCCCCAGCCCAGATCCCATACCCCCTCCCTCACTCCTGCCCCAGCTCCCTCCCACACTCCGAACCCCTCGGCCCCACCGCCCAGCCTGGAGTCCCCTCCTGCACCCCAAACCCCTCATTCCCGGCCCCACCCTAGAGCCCACGCCCCCAGCCAGAGCCCTCACCCCCTCCTATACCTCAACCTCCTGGCCCAGCATGGTGAAAATGAGTGAGTGAGGGAGAGACAGAGGGAGGGGGCATGGAGTGAGTGGAGGTGGGGCCTCGGAGAAGGGACAGGACATGGGTGGGACCTTAGGGCAGGGGATGGGGGCAAGGGTGTTCAGTTTTCTGCAGTCAGAAAGTTGGCAACCCTACTCTGCTGGGATACCTACAGACAACTTGATAATGGTTTAAGCAGATAGTGTGCTGTGACCATGTTCTTTCATGCTGAACAGAACCATTTCATTGGAGATCACAAGGCACCAGTCTGTAGAGCCTGAAGTGCCCTTTCAAACTTAAAGTACTCCCGGTTGTGTAATATGAGGCATGTACTGACTGTGTGGTGCAGGGCAGCTTGCTCTGAAGCTGTACATATTTGTGGTTGTCAATGTGGTCCTTTTCACAAATATTGAAATTCATGTATAAATTAAAAAAAGAGGGATTACTAGTAAAAATCATCAAACCTAGTACCCCACTCATCATTTATAATTAAGATAAGTTTTCTACCCCATTCTGATCAGTAACTTTCCTAACTTGCAATAAATTATGGCTACTGACATCTCCATAACAGCACCATGTCCTGGAGTTTATGGAGGGCATTATTTAACTTGCTTTATTCAAAGGATTATAATATTTCTCTAATATACTGTTGAGGAGAGCTTGATACTGTTAGCTTCAATATCTTTTCCCACACTAATAATTATAAAGTAAATCCCTGATAAAATGAGGATTAAACTACTCCTCCCAATCATTAGTAACAAATGTGCATATTTTTGCTAATGTGTATACCAGTCATTAAGGGATGAAAAGAAAAGCTAGAGTGACATTGACAAGTAGACTTTAATCTCTCAATAATTTATATTTAATATGGATTGAAAACAGCTGGGACAAGGGAACTGTTAAAAAAATGAAAATCCTGTAGTTTCAAACACTCAGTCTAATGCCTCTAATCAGGAAATAACTGACATGCAAATTCAGATCCAGTCACTTTGCCCCTTTACGTTGACTAAGGTGCAGATGAGACCAAAAGGGTATATTTTTAAAGAAGTAGTGGGGAACTATTTGCAGAGCTGGACCTGAAGATATTAGGAGACATGGGTGTAGTAGTTACTGTATGAAGCAGAGATTATTACACCTTGCCCAGATGACGTATGTGATCAAACACTGAAATGCTGATTGTAACCATGACCAGCATGCCTCTGAAAATAATGAATTCCATTTCACCCTCATAATCAAAAATAGCCACAAACTCTCAAGGATTGGCAGCCATGAGGAAGGAGGAATGTAAAATATCTGTACCAGAAGCTGTGTCAGAGATGCTGGCTGGCTAAGAGGGTCACAGAAGAAAGAATGACACATACCCCTGGAGGAAAAGTCTATTTTGAGGACAGGCTGCCCTAGAAAAAAGGGGAAGTAAGAGGTTTTTCATTGTATCTAACCCAAGGAATATCTACCTAGTTTAGCTGTTGCTGAATATAAAACTCTCTCTCTCTGAACGAAAAGCCTAATCAAAACCCTGGGAGAATAGACAGGCCTTGCAGTGTGCCTGGAAAATCAACAGAT